CAGAGGGTGGTGGCAGAGAGGAGGAGGCTTTGACTCTGGCAGGGGCAAAACCCTGGCACATTTGCTTATTGGACAGAACTGGACCACAGAGACTGGGTTAACAGACATTGGTGGTGGGGTTACCAGAAACTGGGTGTATCAGAGTCTGGTGGTGAAGGGGGAGCAACGTGGAGAAAGAGGCATCAGCCCCCCTGGTCCAAACCTTCTACTGGACAGGCCTTTCTGTCTCTTTGGAGCACTGAGTTGCCAGTAGACTCCTGCTATCTAGTTGCTGGAGACCTTTTAACTCTCCCACTAAAGAGTGGGTGCTGATTGGGACAATTGATTTGGAACTCTTAAACTGGAAAAATCAACTGAGGACCCTGAAGGTAGTACCCTGGTCTGTTGTAGTGGGGAGGTGTGATTTTTGTCCTTTTTCAGTTGTTGCCTATGTGGGTGAGTGGGATGTCTTGTTGCTTATATTTCTCCACTGCTGAGAATTCAACCCTGAGTCACTGATTCACTAGGATTGGACAGAGATCAGCTGAATACAAGACAGAACCACATAGCCTCTCCACACCAAGCAGGTCTCTAGAGTCTCAGGCTGTAGTACTGTATGGATCCTTTGCAAAGCTATAGAGGAAAAGCAGTAGTCACCAGTCCCACTTCTTTGGTAAAGGGATAGTCAACCAAAACCCCAGAAACCCCCAATCCAATTTCATTCTACCTGCTCATCTATCCAAAGGGTGAAAAACAATCATGGGGCAGAATTAGCAGAAAAACACTGGCAATGTGAATAATCAGAGTAGATCAACTCCCCCAAGGAACGACAAGGCAAACACACCAGAAGATCACATTCATAAACAAATGGCTAAGACGTCAGAAATTGAGTTTAGAATTTGGATAGCAAATAAGATTAACAGAATAGAAGTAAAGTTGGAATTAGAAATTCTAGGAATAATTCAAAAGTTGTCTCAAGAATTCAATGAATTCAAAGACAAAATCACCAAAGATTTTGACATGTTGAAAATAGAAGTTGCAGCTTTCTGAGATATGAGATATACAGTAGAATCCCTCAGTAACAGAATGGGGCAGGCAGAATAAAGGAATTCTGACATTGAAGACAAAGCTTTTGAATGCTCCAAAATGCACAAAGAGGAAGAGAAGTGGAGAGCAAAAATGGATAATTCCCTCAGAGAGCTCTGGAATAATTCAAAGAAAACTTATATGAATCCCTGAAGGTGATGAGGTTGCTTTGAAAGGTACAGATGCTCTTTTCCAAGAGATAATCAAGGAGAACTTCTCAAACATCACAAAAGATGCTGAAATACACACAGCAGTTTCAGAACCCCAGTATGACTCAACCCTAATAAAGCATCTCCAAGACATATTATCATTAACTTCACCGAAGTTAATATGAAGGACAAAATACTGCAAGCAGTCAGATGTAATAAAATCATAACCTACAAGGGGAAAAATATGAGAATGACTGCAGATCTCTCTGCTGAAACTTTTCAAGGTAGAAGAGGATAGTCAACTACTTTCACCCTCCTAAAACAAAACAATTTTCAACCCAGGTTACTGTATTCAGCTAAACTCAGTTTCATTTATGATGGAGAAATTAAATACTTTAATGATATTCACATGCTGAAGAAATTTGCCATAAATAAACCAGCTCTGCAGGATATTCTCAGACCCATCCTCCACAATGACCTCCACAACTCTTTACACCAAAGTAAACTCACTCAGAAATTTTTGATCAAAACTCAACTTCCACAGTGGCAAAAGGATTAAAAATGTCCACTGGACTTCTCACAAATTCAACAACCAAAATATTACCAGGCTTATAATTACTCATAATTAAAGTGAATGACTTAAATTGTCCAATAAAGAGGCACAGGTTGGCTGACTGGATACAAAAATGCAGGCCAGATATCTGCTGTATACATAAATCTCATCTTACCTTAAAAGATAAACACAAGTTTCAAATTAGAAACTCTAGTCTATGTTTAAACTCAGAAACTAAATCACCCTGTATTAAGCAACACAGGATATCTTTTGATGAGTTTTATGATTGTATAAGAGTCAGTCCATGCAATGATATGATTTCACCATTTCTCAAGATGATAAAATCAGGATAAAATCAGCTAAACCTAAGTTCAGATTTTTGAGGCAATGTACATTAATACTATTATGACTAATAGTTATCAAAAGCAATGCAATCAAAGACACAAATGAACATGTTATTTACATAGTCTTCACAAGTGAAACTCAGTTCTTATAAAAGTCAGTTTGCTAGAAACTAAAGAATATCTGCATAAAACAAACAATACTATTTATTCCTTTATGAAATTCTATTATTTTCATATCTAAATTGAATGGTGAGATCTGTAAAAACATCTTATGAATAAATATATTTTAATTATTTAGGAAGAAATGGATAAAGATAGACTCAGGGTGAAGGGATGGTCATCTATAATTCAGACAAATGGAAATCAGAAAAAAAGCAGGAGTTGCAATTTTATTCGAAGATATATATAGGCTTTAAACCACAAAACTAAGGAAAGTTAAGAATGGTCACTTTGTATTTGTTAAGGGTAACACTCAACATGATGAGATTTCAATTATTAATATTTATGAACCCAACTAGAATGCTCCTCAATTTATAAGAGAGATTCTAACTGACATGAGCAAGCTGATTTCCTCCAGCAATATAACAGATGGAGATTTTTGATACCCCTCTGTCTGTGTTGGATAGAGCCTCCAATAAGAAACTAAACAAGAAAATTTTAGACTTAAAATTATCCATTGAAGAATTAAATTAACAGACATCTACAGAACACTTCATCCTAATGAAACAGAATACACATTCGTCTCATCAGCACAAGGAACATCCTCCAAAATTGATCACATCTTAGGTCACAAGGCTAACCTCAGCAAATTTTTAAAAATAGAACTTATTCTTTGTATCTTCTCAGACTATCATGGAATAAAAGATGAACACAGTAACAATAGGAATCTGCAAACTCACACAAAGACATGGAAACT